AACTGACCTGACACTAATTGAAAGCGGGGCCACAGATAAATGGAGAACAATGTTATTCACGATGCATGTCGCGTTCACAAAATCAGGACAGATCAGCTGTAGGCTAAAGTCTGAAATGTCTACAATATGAGCTTCTTACTCCATGAGTTTTAAATGTTCTTCTCTAAGTTTACATAAAAAAGAGAAGGAAAAATTCCTCGTCCGATTTCGGTCTGTTGTACTAGTAGAGACTACCTCACTTATTTTCGGTCACTCGTCATGCCTAATAATACTTAACTATGAGACAGCAACCTTCCACCAAAAGGCCAAAGAATGATAAGGAAACCGAAAACACGAAATAAATGGGCGGATAACATTTAAAGACATGCATCATGTTCTCAATCTGACAGCAAAAAGGAAGCTTCTGGAATTTAATTTGAACGTGAGACGTCCAGCTGAACTCATTGGCTAGGTTAACGCCGAGGTCTGTTGAATCACTGTGTTCTGGAAAAAACACGGTCAACGAACATGACACTTCGATTACCTTACACAGGTCTTCTCGTTTCACGAATATTCATCTAAATGGATACGTGTCGCCCTCGTGCAGTCATCGTCATCATCATCATCATCATCGACAGCATGACATCAGTGTTTAACACCGATGCTTCACTGTCCTCCTGCAGCATATTCAGTTGAATAATTTCATAAACAAGAGTTGCGGCTAAGATTCATTTCACTATCCTGTTTACACTAACTTAATTTGTAAATGAGTGTTGATCCTAACAACGCTGATTCAAAGCAAATTTACTTAATTTCCAACGAAAGTCTCACGTGACTTAGTGGGTCATCTTCAGCCCAGATGTTTGATCGGTTATCCGCTGGTGATTATGCATGACCTCACATCCTATCCCTCGCCGCGCCCCAAATTTTCGCATATGGCGAACGACCCTATACAGACTTTCAGTGAACTTGACGCAGACCATTATAGATTTATTGCTTTGGTTTTGACCTCTTGACCGCTTCTCAAGATCATCACAATGTAGCTCGTGGGACTGTAGTTCCGAAAACCGGCACAGCTTACTATCTCGCAAGATCCTTAACATATACCTCGAAATGTTGTACCTCTGTCATTTGGTTTCGACTGAGGTGCCAGGTTTCTTTCACATCACGGATGTCATCACAGAACCGATCTCCAGTAAGCCGAGGTCGACTGGTGCATCTGAAGTAGCACACATTTGCGGTTAGCTGGGACTTGGTAGTCAGTATCCTCACGTGTCTTGCAGTGACGGACAGTACACCGTGATACTGAACGTGGGAACATCCACCGGCTACACCCGTGTTGTATCTACACTCAGTACACAGAAGAATAAAGCACACTTGCTTGTCCAAGCAGCAAGGGCTTGGTGGGCCTTATACAAACTTAACATTGATAACCTTACCGTTAGCCCAATATCCAATCAACTGCAACGGACAAGGTTTGTTTAAATCGTGTTCTTTGTAAGCTCTTACAGTTACTAGGGCCCTTTCCGTTCTGCTGGTGCCATAGGAAGAACTGGCAGTTAACTGCCTCATCTGCACACGACACGACCATCACTGACCGATATCGATCTTTCGGTTAGAGAAATTAGGTAGATTATTTGATTTATGTTCGTCCGTGCACGCTCAGCTTTTATTCGGCATCCGTTTGTTGAAGTTAGATCAGTCTGTCTAGGCCACACTTCTAAGAGGATCGGATATATCGTGCATTCCTGATCGACTGACTCAGCCGTACCGTCATTAATGTTTCTTTGGAGCCGAGATTACAATTAGGTACAATATCATCGAATTCTGTTCATGTGGCTATTTATGGAAAAACGCAACATAGTACTTACCGCACATGCTGGAAGACACTGGAGTGAATCCTGGATGTAAGTGAAAAAACTGTTTTCTTTCACCTGCTAATCTTTGAACCCCACTTGAACCAATATTACATTTTATAAAATTACTAATCTTCGGTCTGCTTTGTGTGAAAATTTTTAGTTCATCCAGACGAACGTTGTACCTTTGAGCGCGGATAAATGTGGGTGAAGTCAATGGGTTAGTCTCCTTACGTCAGCTATCGCGCTCCGCCTCCTGTTAATACAGATCCTACTTATCCAGCAATCACCCACAAGTAACGAAAATTTCCGAAAAATCAACGAAAAATCAACAGATCCGGAAGTATTGACAAACAAGCCGTTAGATCAGTAAAGCTAGGATAATAACTGGGGCGTCTTTAGACATTTCGGGTAAATCAACTAGTCCATATCAAAGGGCGAACGTGCTCGTTACTCAGCCGTATTAATTCGACCTTGCCGGGTGTTTGTTGATGCAATAGTCGTGTGAAGATCGCATAGCGTGTCGGAGGTCCAGAGTTTCAGTTCTAATAAGAGCAAAACTCGACTCAAGTGCTCTCGGCCTTGATGTTGACTAGCAAGTGTAAACATGCTAGTATAGATACAGAACAGTTCAAATGAAAGATATGTGAATACAGATCTTATCAATCTTCTAACTACTCGGAATTTTCAGAAACAAACTGGGGATAATAACGGAGACTAATTCCTATAAGTGCCTTAGGCTGGATAAACTACAAAGTATTGACAGGAATGGACCATTTTTTATGGAGTTTTACCCCACATCCTAAAATCGCTGTAGGATAAAAGTCAATCAAATTAACTTCGCTGCAACTCACGTTTAGTGTTCGCTCCACAGGTTGAGTGCACATGAGTGCAAGCTTATCTGGTCTCGGGTGACGATATATCATCTCCATCATAATCGGGTTTCCTTCGAGGATCACATCTGTTACGGAAGGTAGCCCTTTCAGTCCGCCTAATTGTGCCATCCTGCAATAAAAGTGATTGTGAGTAACCGCATGCAATGCTGCCCAAATGAACAAGAGTTCGGGCATGCATCTTTTTCTACCTAACATAGAATAGCAGCACTCAATTTATTGGAACCAACGATCATAAGAGTCCGCATCCAGTTCTTTGGGCTAATTGACATGAACATAATTTGTATCACAAAGCGAAACTCGTGCGCTTAAAATTAACCGGATAGTATCGTGAGGCAACTGCCTATGTACTCACAAAGTACACTGAACCACAATTGGATCTATCCACAACACACTCACGGACATACCAATTTGAGAAATGAATAGGAAAAAAATGAATTTGGGGTGAACGAACGAGTGAATGAATTATAGCTTGATTGAAGTCGTTGCCGAGCCTGCGACGTGATAGGTTCAGTGGACCAACCTTAGTGAGATTATTGGCCAGAGAGTAACGACTGCGACAAACACTGCCTAAACGAGAAGAAAACTTGCTACCAGAATACATGAGCGCAAGCTTGCCAGCAGAAGACATGACCCAATGTCACTTATCTCAATTCACGAAGACAGAGAAGAACACAAGTTCGATTGGGACAATGTTGATATACTTGTTCACGCAAGAACAAAACGGCAGCGATAGTTTGCCGAGGGGTGGTACTCTATACAAGAATCGACCAATATACACATCGACATTGACCCAGTGCAAGCCGATGTGCAAGCGGAAGGAAACGGTGATAATGTACAACCCGGAGCTAGATGGACCAAGTGGCTAGAGCGCGAATTTACTGATCGAAGGTCTGTTGGTTCGAACCCGACCTCTGCCTCTCGACTTTCCCTGTCTAGGTTTGGGCANCAGAAGACATGACCCAATGTCACTTATCTCAATTCACGGAGACAGAGAAGAACACAAGTTCGATTGGGACAATGTTGATATACTTGTTCACGCAAGAACAAAACGGCAGCGATAGTTTGCCGAGGGGTGGTACTCTATACAAGAATCGACCAATATACACATCGACATTGACCCAGTGCAAGCCGATGTGCAAGCGGAAGGAAACGGTGATAATGTACAACCCGGAGCTAGATGGACCAAGTGGTTAGAGCGCGAATTTACTGACTAGAAGGTCCGTGGTTCGGACCAGACCTCTGCCACTCGACTTCCCCTGTCTAGGCTTGGGCAACCTGGCAGTATCCCAGCCCTCGTGCCTCCTTCGTATGGCATGGCAGCTAGGCACCGAAAGGATGCTACAGTTGGACGATTGTTATTATTAGTACAACCGGAACTCCACTTGAAATTTAGCTCCCGGAAAGTTCACTTCAACACGTCTCTTGTTCAGGTTACTATGGTGTGTAAACGGACGAAAATACTTATTTGTTAAACTGTAGTAAGACATTATGTTGTTCGCACTAAAAGATCTACAGGTGAACTTGCATTTCTCGTGAATTTATTGGACTGGATACATCACCTGGATCGGGCATGGATTATGATCCTTTTGCTTACGCCTCCGTCTTGCAGTGGCAAAACTATCCCTTACTTGCGTTATTTCCGTTTCGCTATTCCTAACGAGGTTGTCGTACATGCAGTATCACGCGTCATAGTCAATATGGTCGCAGCATCCGTTGCTTGCAGAGTTTTTCAATCATTCAAGAGTCTGGGAGTATCTGGGATACTTCTTTGAACGTGCCACTTCGGCGGGTATTTATTTTGATTGACTGACAGACTACAGAGTTGGGATGACGAGAAGGCCAACAGGATGTTTGATGCTTATGTTCAGATTATTCAAACTACCTATGTGGGTGGTTTTTCATAAAGAGGAGAACACGTAGATGTGCGCTATATTACTCAACCAGGGCCATCAATATTGTTGTACAGTGTACTTACATAGGGGTACTACAGTTTATTTGTTATTATACTGTAAGATTACATGAGAAGTCCAACAGGAGAGGTACAAATGGTTATACTTTTTGCTCGTTTTTTACTGACCTTCAACCAAATACCTCGAACACATCTAATATTTGGCTGCCAATAGTTCATGCATTGTGTGAAAATGAAAATCCGCCTTCTGGAAACTTCGAGCAGAAGAGAAGAGAATTTCCGGTGGCAATCTCGAGAACATCAAACAGTTCGTCGGTATCCACATACGATTTGATTAGTAACTTTCAGAAATGAGAACAGTATGTATAATGGTTACCTGTTTGGGTGAAGGATCATACACGATGCGAAATTCTGCAGGAATTAAGGGATCAGGTATGTTAGTTGACCAGTCGTAACCACCCGACATTCAGGCTACACATGAACTAGCATCAGCCATTGAATGATGAAAAAATCTTGCTTTCAGTGACAGCGGGTGCGGTACTTCCATTCGGAAGTGCATTGATAGGTGTTGTTACTAGCTGACTTCGTCAGTAGTCAATAAATTCGGTTCACTGGTGTTTTCTGATTCTCAGCTTAGACCTTTCGTAAATTTGTCATCTCAAGTCCTCAACAGCCGTTGGAGTGGTCGAGCGGTGATCACGTGACGCTGCTCACACATATAAAAGTATGTTAATTGATCAGGTGCCTGTTGATCTGTTCACCGAGCTAGGCAATTGATTTGAAAACGTTTCGTCACCATTCGAGGGGACATCTTCATTGCGCTGTTGGCTGGGTAGTCCCTTTCTTTGTGCCTGCGGTTATATAGTTTATACAGAGCAGCCTTTGCGCTGTAACCTGGATTTTGGTTGGTCCGATCTTAATCTGTGTTGAGTTGCGGTTTGTATTTCTTGCTTCCTACGACCACGCTATCGTTGAAATTACCGTCCATTAGTGTTTCTTTCGGTTGGCCCGTTTTTGACCTGTATTGCGTCGTGGTCGACTTCTATGTTGGTTTGTAACGTACCTCCTATTTCTAGTAGTTTGTTGTTCTATCGATTTCTTCTGAGTCCTCGTATATTGACCATTGACTGTTGATTACGTGGCTCTTGATTTGTTCGCCAAGCTTGGCAGTTTACTTGCAAATGTTTCTTCACCATGCGAGTAAACTTCGTCGGTGCGCAGTTGGGTTAATACCTCTTATTGGCCCGCGTGCGTTTATATAGCATTTGAGGCTCTCTATAAACTTCGTCGGTGCGCAGTTGGGTTAATACCTCTTATTGGCCCGCGTGCGTTTATATAGCATTTGAAGGCTCTCTATTATCTCTTTACCTGATTGTGTAGTTGAGGGACAGCGTTCTTCGTGAATTTTTATGGTCTGTTCGCGATCTTTGTTGCGTTGTGTTCTACATTCCATTGAGTCAATTAGTTATCCTGATGAATTCTGTTTTCCGTAGTTTCTTTCACCGTTTTGATTAGTCACTTCTCGATTTGCATTGCTTTGTGGTCCAATCTTCTCGAGAGAGACTGATGGTTGCACCGCCCTATATTCTCCACTGTATCGACCGGTGTCTCCACATCCACTGATTAATTTGGTACTTTCGTTTATCGCCCGAACACCTCCAATCAAATGGATATATTCGCTTTAATCGGACTCCCCTACATCGTTTACGAGTTCCTAGTCTGGTTGCTTGTGCAGTTCAGAGCTCCGTGTTTCTGGAGTTCCTTTGCTCTTAATGGTGGATAACTAGGGTAAGTCTCGATATGTTTGTTGCTAGCTTCTTCGCTACCATAAATACATTTTTTCTTCTTTCTTGCTTGAGTCATTATTCGAACGCCGCTCCAGTCAAACTCATGCCTTTGCTGATCTTTGTTCATTGAGATGAGAGAATATTGATCGTGCCTTTTTGTAGTGAGCTTATGTTCGTATATTCAGAGCTTCCTTTCCCCTTATCCTAAATATAGTTTGGTACAGTCCTTGCATCGGATACTTGATATAACATACTTCTTTATCATTTAATCCTATTTTTATTTTCCTCCACAAAGTGACTACGGGTTTCTAAGCGATTGCGTACTGCGCTGTTGTAATAGCCTTGCCGTTAATTCAGCGGCCTTCTTGATGTATGAAAGTGTGGCTCATTTGCCTGCTCTTTGTGTTATTTCATTGGCCGTATTTGTCATTGTGAGTGACATGCGGGTGAAATTCCCTGGGTATCCATTTCTCAAGAACAACTTTCACGGGTGTTTTTCTACTTTAACCTTGGATTCTGTTTTTCTGCAATATGTCTCAACCCGCCTGACCAACTATTCGCCTCCAACACTGCAGCTGGATACTTATGATGACTTTACCACTCGGTCTAATTTCATGTCAAAATCATTGGTCGATTATAACCCAAGAACACACATTAGCTATTTTATATGCTCTCCATGAAGGTCCATTCTCATGAGGATCCCAGTACTTCCTTCTCCCACTCAACTCAATTACGAAGAGTAGCACCCGAAAATTCTCTGGTTATGTTTTTAGCTGTGTTTAAGACCAAGCGGAGAGGTTTGAGTGAAATGGTGCAGTTTACCCGACCATCACTCCTAAAACTGGTGTATTTACGCGCCTGAGGGTTAGTTGCAATGTTTTACCAACTACGTAGCAGATTACACAAATGGCGCTAGTTTTAACCAGAATGGCGTCATTGGGAACACTTGCACACTCACGTTACATGGGCACGTCGACTGAAGTGAAGCATGCGTACTGAGTGTTTGCTCTACCTGACATTCGTTACTGTCGTGTGTACAGACCAAACAAGCAACGAGCCGATAGTCAGGTTACCTGTTATTTGACTTCACAGCGCAGACACCATTGCGTGACCCAGCGATTACCTGCTTCGTTGTTCTACCTATGATAGCCGCCCAATATACGTTCCAATTTAAGGGTTGGCTCTTGAGTACTATCCAACAGCACCGATATAATACAGATTGACCAGTTGTTTGTTAAGTAAAGTCTCAGTTTTTGTACCCACTGAATTCCCTAACCTCACGCGAATGTCTTGTGAGTGCTACGATTGGAAAGGGAAAACTAAACTCTATCAGTGGTTCGTGTTCCATGCTCAGAACCAAACAGGTGAACGCATTTTACTTCTGTTTGGTCAATGGTCTGATGATCCTCCCTGTTTGTTAACTTTCTTATTCGTACGGATCCTTAGTCAGAGTATCATAACTCACTGCAAAGTAAAATGGTTTCTTTTAGAGCTCCTTTCAGTTAGGAGTGTTTTTTAAGTAACCTGTCATACACAGTCATTCCTTTGTAAAAAAAACACGTGTTTGAACGTGAACACTTCGAACATGCAAAACTTACCGTTCGAAGCGATGTGTTTGTTCGTTCCTATGCCGCTGTTTTCCCACTCTGACTGTAGACTCAGCATTATTCAAAATGATAACGTTTTCAGATTTAATTTGAGCGTTTATTGGTATACACTCTTTTCTCTGGCCAGATTCATTCACTTGATTTCCCATCATCTTTGCATATGGTGAATAGCTGGACCCATATAATGTGCTCTGATTCAGCGTTGCCTTTCGGTAAAGTAACAATTGGACATTTGGATCAGTGTCGAAACACCTGAGGCTGCTGATGGATGGCCAACAGTGGTGGTATGCAGTCGGTTGTAGTCCCAGTGCATCAGCACATTGAGTTGAGCTGGTGGATATGGGCATTCCTGTTGGTAGTAAGCGTCATGTGGGTGTTCTTTACGAAATGCAAAAGATTCTGTGCTCGATGTACTCAACCCAAACCTCTGTCAAAATGGGGTTTACGCAACTGAAATCGATGCCGGAACGCCCATCTCATCGCATTTAACTTCGTCAGAAACGCCACTTAAAAGTCACAAGTCCTTTACTTCAAACATTGCAATGCGTGCAGCGCAGCCCAAAAGAAAAGTCCAACGAAAGGCGAAGGTAAGAGCAGTAAAACTTTTATAAAGGCATTGGTACTTCCCAGCAGTGAGAAGGTTGAAGAAACCACATTGAAAATCGCGGTTTGATTTTCTGTGGGTTGATTGTGATAGCCGGAGAACTATATAACCGGTTAAAACGAGTCGGTAGGAGTTCGATAAGGACCCCAAAACCTAGGTAATATGAAGCATTATCAGGCTTCAAACGTTTATCTTGCATTTCAGAGCCTTTCATTCCCAAGCAAAGCAAAGTCCCGAGTGAATGGTTCCGGATAGGGTTCCAAAAACCCCTAACGTCTGTCATCTCATGGGTCAGATTATCAGGATGAGATATGAGATTTCAGAATGAACTTCGTGTGTTTCGCACGCAAATTGAGTCGAAAATTTGGGCACCGTCTGCGAGTTACCTTCGTCGACCTTGGCAACTGAAAGGTAAAAGTGCGCACGCATACGGTATAGATGGTTACTCCTAGCACCTATTTATTCAACCTCGAAGAATTGTTATAACCATCACAATCACCTGTGTTTCATGCCCAAAGTTTTCACACTTCGTTTCTATTCCTCTTCTGGGAAAAATACCATTACGGTTTGGTAAGCTCCCGCCACACGCTTGGTACACATCATCATAACGTGAAAAAACCGACAGCTTCGTTGAGGAAATTGACTAAAAGGCCAAAGCAAAAGATCGACGAGGGCGCAGAAAACAATTTGGTGTACCAAACCAACCACAAGGATTGCAATAAATATCACACTGGACAGACTGGAAAAAAATCTTATTCCTCAGCTACTAGAGGACACGAACCGCTGCATCGTATTTTCTAGGCCGGCCTGCGATATGTAAAGCAAACACACGCATACCGCGCATCTACTTCCCATCATAACGCACTAGTGACGAAATGTTTTCAACCAAATTACGGAGCTGGGAAACCGTACATTTATGAAATTACATGATGCGGAGTTCTGGCTCACTGAAGCTTGGGGGTCCACCATCTGTACACGTACGTGCTTTCGACTGACAATCCCGTACAATCCACTGAAGCTTGGGGGTCCACCATCTGTACACGTACGTGCTTTCGACTGACAATCCCGTACAATCTTTGTTTATATATATGTATACATACATATGTATACATACATATAACACATATCAGTAGGCTGTCTTTCCGGTATACAATAGCTCCAAGATGTATGCATCACCGATTTTCCCATCAAAAACATGCGTGCTGGGATGAATCTGTCTGGGGTAGCAACACACTTAGCATTCCGAATTTGCGCTCATGATATCCAGCTGCATTGAATTAATACAGTTTGATCGGTGTGGTTGTACAACCACGTCTTCTGCGTCTAATGTACCCGTTGTCTCCTCTATTCTGTCACCAGTGGCCTGTCTGTTTTGCCTTAAAAAAGCAAGCGTCCGAACCTTTGCTAGCGACCTGCCTGTCAAGGAATAAGTTATTACAGCACCGGCGCAGACCATCTTGCTGTTAGAGCGATAACTTATGAAGCTGAATTTTCGGGAGAATCTAACTGCCTGCTTCCTACAGTTTGGATGATCATGATACTTCTGAGTCAACCGTCGATTAGACCGTCGATTAGAATCCCGCAAAAACTAGTTCGGTTGGGGACTCCGAATATAAACCTAGACTTTCTAACAGAATCCAAAAACATTTAAGATCACAGGAATAAAGCTGTACCACATTTTCCACACCGCGTAACCCTCTCCCCTGTATTTTTGCCTCTCCCAACTCACTCTTGTTGATAGAGATCGGACGACAGACGTATCAATCAGAAGCGACAGCTAGAATGACAAATACCCGTGAACGATAACCAAGACGTACCGTCAATTCCACGGCTTCTAGGATAATCTAGGCTGCCAGAGAAGCGTTTCTTCGTTGATCCTTGTGATGTGGAAGGACATTTTCCGGTTAATTTGCTTTGTGTCTTGCGCTTAAAGTTTATTTTAACCCCATTCAAAACGGAGGCTGCTCGCGTGATGCAAGGAAGTGGCCCACAGTCGGATGGGTTTGCTAAAATCCGTTGCTGTGGCATCTCATCCGTTATCTCCGAGGTTAGAAAGATGAAAGACGAAGTTGTTTACAAAGGGACTCATACATTTTGTAGAAAAGTTGATCACGCTTGCAAGTTTTCTCCCAGGGAGGAGGTTGTAGTTATCCAGTTGTGTTTACATAGGCATGGTTTCAATGACTGAGTTCGTTTTTTTTTTTTCAGTAAAGATGCGTCAGGTAGGCCAAATTACGGATGCGATGAATATGCTTGGTGTTGTCTCTTGAGGCTGGAATAAAAGACAAGAGCATATGCTTACCTCGTGAACTGATAAAGAGGGTGAAATAGAGAACTGCGTATACCTCTTGAGTAACTGTAAACTGATAAATTAATTCGGGACAGGTAGCAAACTAAATGGCAGATAGTTATGCATACAGCAGATTAAAGCGATTCGAAATGAAAATGGGGTGAAAATTAGGGTTGACTCTGGGGCTAAGCTGAGGATAAGCGCAATACCGACAGTCGAAAAGATGACAGAGTACCCGTGGTTAAGGTTATTCAAGGACATCCCTTCGTCTTCCAAAAATGTCATGTTCAAATTGGACTTCTGCATTCATCGTCAGTTCAAGTGATAAGTACGCTGGATAAGTCGTTAGCATTGTATGTATGTATGTATGTATGTATGTATGTATGTATGTATGTATGTATGTATGTATGTATGTATGTATGTATGTATGTATGTATGTATGTATGTATGTATGTATGTATGTATGTATGTATGTATGTATGTATGTATGTATGTATGTATGTATGTATGTATGTATGTATGTATGTATGTATGTATGTATGTATGTATGTATGTATGTATGTATGTATGTATGTATGTATGTATGTATGTATGTATGTATGTATGTATGTATGTATGTATGTATGTATGTATGTATGTATGTATGTATGTATGTATGTATGTATGTATGTATGTATGTATGTATGTATGTATGTATGTATGTATGTATGTATGTATGTATGTATGTATGTATGTATGTATGTATGTATGTATGTATGTATGTATGTATGTATGTATGTATGTATGTATGTATGTATGTATGTATGTATGTATGTATGTATGTATGTATGTATGTATGTATGTATGTATGTATGTATGTATGTATGTATGTATGTATGTATGTATGTATGTATGTATGTATGTATGTATGTATGTATGTATGTATGTATGTATGTATGTATGTATGTATGTATGTATGTATGTATGTATGTATGTATGTATGTATGTATGTATGTATGTATGTATGTATGTATGTATGTATGTATGTATGTATGTATGTATGTATGTATGTATGTATGTATGTATGTATGTATGTATGTATGTATGTATGTATGTATGTATGTATGTATGTATGTATGTATGTATGTATGTATGTATGTATGTATGTATGTATGTATGTATGTATATATGTATGTAATATTTCTGTATGTATACGATGGATAAACTGTCTGCCAGAGTTGGAAGACAGAGTAGGAGAAAAGGAGAGCAAGACAGTATTTGCATAAAAATATTTTCGAAAATCATTCAAACGTGCTCGTGTGTCCGGTGACACATTGTACCTAAAGCCTCTGAATTGCCAGTTATTCTCTGGCTTTGTTTTGACTATCATCTTCTACTGTGAGCCAAAAATAAAATTCCAAATCTTTTCTTATGAGGACTTTTCAAATTTGAACATATTCGCTGAGGAAAAATGAGCAGAATGAAGCTCCGTTTCGTCTGGAACTTGTACAGTGAGTTCGCGAATACCACATTGCATTCGGGAGGCTGATAATCGTTATGGCTCAAGGTTTAAAATCAACGTATGACCTGGTCAGCTGCTTCATACTGCAGCGAAATCTTTCCTCTAACTATATCCCAAACATTCTCACCACACCGGTTTATATATTTCAGCACCCGTAGGAAATTAAAAACTTTTGAAAAGTATTATCCGGAGCTAAGCATAAAGTTTGGTGCCTTCAAGTGAAGCCGTGACTTGAACAGGGCATAAGAAGCCATTTTTACCACCAATTTCGGGAGAGCATTCTGAGAATGGGTAGTGCAAGCTGTGAACCTGTATACATGTAGAAGTCCGCCTGTTTAAGACAACGTTAATTTGAGCCGACGACCTCGTACCTTGTCCCTGGACGTCAGTTCAGACAGATGCATCGGAAGTGTATACTGAAGGATTCCAAGGTCATATCTTTCTGTACCCTTCAATGGAGCACAGTTAGCAATTCGCGACACTTATCTTTGCTAGCTACAGAAAAACGTAACTGAGAAATTATGCTTGTTATAAATCCTCCCAGGTTGTTTATTTTCAAATGATACTGGACAAATTGGAAGGAATGTCGTTACTTTTATCGCCTCTATGAAACTGAAAAGTCGCCGGTAGTAGTGGATCAGGCGATCGTGACTTGGCAACCGACCTGCAAACGTTTCATCACAACCCGAGAAATACCGGCCGGGTAAACGCACACGATTTACAAATATTCTAACGTATCGCTAGTGGAGTTTTAGCTTGACTGGTAAGATGGACCAGTTCACGCATTTATGTTGCAGCGTTCATGAACTCCAAGTGGATGAATTCACCCATTTTTTGCATGGTTATGCATCCCAGAACCTAACCTCATACATCACATCACACATCACATAAACCCAGCCGTTATTCCACCATTATCTGATCGCATTTTGGCCTCAGCATCTTTTCCCATACCCACCA